GGCCTCACCAAACTCAAGTTAGGCTCAGGAAGTTACACTGGGCCTCATGAGGCCCAACACTCCACAAGAACAAGTGCTCTTAACCACTGAGCCGTCTCTGCAACCTCCAACACTCTACTTGTAAGGGGCTACATACACTTTGATTTGGAGAACTAAAATATAAAATCGTTCAGGTAAATGGGTTGGTTCAGAAGGCAGAAACTCGTCAGAAGCCAGCGTTCTCAACTCCACCTCCACCCTCAGCGAAGCCTGTAAGAAAGATATTCCTGGCTCCACGCAGAGGTGTGAGGAGGCGGAAGGCATGCCGCTGGTGAAGGCTGCGGGGGATCTTTTAAAGTGTGAGACACAAGAACAGAGTGTTTCAAAAATGAGAGAGATACAATAAAAGCAGCATTGGATGACAAGTGTTGGGAGTGAGCCCTGTGAGGAGCTGAAACTAAAGAATCCTCGGGAACCAGGGGGAAATAAAGCCAGAGAGGAAGAACGGGAGAGGTAGCGGGTGTGGAAGGCTTTGTGGTTCTCCAGCTCCTAATGACGCTGACATATGATCAGAGAAATAAAACACGATCCATTCAAAAGCTCAAGGACATGTAGGGGTGATGGCGACATGTGGGGGTGATGGCTCAGGGGATATGGTGTTCCCCACAGGAGCCTGGACCAGGGTTCAGATCCCCAGAACCCACAGAAAAGCTAGGAAGCTATGACAGCTCACCACAACCCAGCACCGGGAAGGTGAAATCGGGACCGCAGGGTGAGCCGGCCAGTACTGCTTGAACTGGCGAGTGCCGGGTTGAACAAGAGTGCCTTGGGAAAATAAGGAGGAAAGTGACGAAGGCAGACACTCAGCATCAACCTCTGACCTCCGCAAGCCCATGCACACATACGTGCCAACACACACAGACCTCCAGAAGCACAAGCACACGTGTGCCCACACACACACACACTGGAACCTGCATACATATACACTCATCTTACAAACACATCATAGAAGATCCAGAAAACATGAGACTCTAAAGGAAGGGAAGTTTCTGGCTTTTTCTTCTCCACGAACATTTTCAGTATGAGGATCAGAAGGATAACTTAATAAAATGTTTCTGACCACGGTGGAAGGAAAGCCTCCACCAACGTGAGTCTAAACTGGAACCTGGGCACTGGGGTTAGTACTCTGTTCCCTCCCATGGAGCTTTGTTTCAACACTGGCTCTTTTTTTTCCTTCGTAAATGGACCCATTCCATGCTCGATCTTCTCAGAGCAAAATCTCAAGGTCTCTCTGCATATATTTAACTGGCCACTGAGACACAGCAGTTCAAGGGTTAACAGGCCTGACATTTCACAAGTGAAGCCTCCATGATAAAACAGACTTTTCTAACTCTGCCTGGTAAGATCTCCCCAGAAACATCTGTCTTTCCTTTGACGTATTTAATGTCATTCAATAGGTTGCATTAAGAGAAAGAGGGTGGCTTTTATCTAGCACACTGCTGCATACACAATGAATGTTGGGAGCTTGGGTTAACTTGTTTCGTTTTGTAGAAGTCCGTGCCTCTCTGGGATATTGCTGATCCAGCACCCCAGTAGGATCCAGTACCGACTGATTGACCACAGTCTCTGTTCTTGACATGGAAAGTACCCACACGGAAGACGAGGAATTAGTGTCAGAAATAAGCAGATATAAAGATTTACAGGCAACATGGGCTAGGAAAACAAAGGCGAGTTCAGGAGCTTACAGAACTCTCGGGTCACAGTTTCCTTTAAACTGTACGAAAGGATGAATAAGGAGATCCTGGAAACAGGTTAGTAGCTGTCAGCTGAGATAAAACTCAGGATCCTGTGCAACTTGCACTTGTGGCCCTGGACCCCCATGGCTGATAGGAACAGCCCAAAAGACTAAGACGGGATTAGGGAGGGGCTTTCTGCTTCCATTTCCTCTGCTTCTCAATTCTGTGATCTCACTGACTGCTGAGTATCTTCCTGGTGTGTGGAAAGGATAAGGCCTGCCCTCCGTGGTTGTACGTTATTAATCCACACTGAATTTGCCGCATAGGAAAGGGGAACCTACCTGGCAGCATCCAGGAGAAGCACATTCAGAAGACTAGGGAACTGGAGGACGGCGCACAACAGAAAGTAATGCCTGTATTAGTCTGGCTTTCATCCCTATGCCAAAACACACGAGCTGGGTGACTTTATAAAACACAGATTAAAGGCCAGGTATGGTGCCGAATGCTTTCAACCCCACACTTAGGAGGCAGGTGGATCCCCTTTGAGATTGAGGATAGCCTGGTCTATATAGTGAGAAGCCATTACATAGCAGCAACAACAAAATCTGAAATATAAAAAGAAAATGTGTAATGCCCCCATACACACAGTCTCTGGATTACAGCAGGAACCCTTGCCATGACTTGAAGTCTTCAACGCAGGAACAGTAGTTTTTAATGCTTTTTTGTTTGTTTTTGTTTTAGTTTTGTCTTTTGAGACAGGGTTTCTGTAGCCTAGTGGTAGCCTAGTTGTCCTGGGACTTGCTCTGTAGACCAGACTGGCCTCAAACTTGCAGAGAGCTGCCTGGGATTAAAGGTGTATGCCACCACCACCTGGCAGGAACACTAGTGTTTAAATTGGGATCTTCAGGAAGCAGTTTCTACAGGCTGACCTTCAGTTAGTAAGGGTTACTTATCACAAATAATAGCCACCATTTACTCTGGCAAATGCAGACAACTTGAGTTCTTTCTCTTCCTCATGCCTTTTCTTTTTCTGGCCTTACTGCGAAGGCAAGACCTTGGGTGCAAATGGGAAAATCACACATTCTACTTTGTTCCTGATCCTTGGGGGAAAACCATCCAGTATTTCAGCATTAAGCAAGGTGTTACATCCAGGTTTTATAGATCCCTTTTATCAGGCTGACACTGGTGACTTCTCTTCTGTTTGGATAACGGGGGTCGGGGTTGTTTGTTGTTTCAGTTTGTCTTGTTTTAGCCTGCTCTGGTTCATATTTTATTTCACATGCGTGAATGAGTTCTGATTTTTCCCCCAATATATTTTATCTATTTGAAATGGTCATGTCATAGTTTTCTTATAGTCTTTGAATAGGATAAATTACACAAATTGTTGAATGTCAAATTAGCTTTGTACTGTTGGAATAAAATTTATGTGTCATGATATTTTATTCTTTACATTGCTTGATTTGATTAGCTAATGGTTTGATAAGAACTTTGGCAACTATATTCATGAGGAATAGTGACCCTAATTTTTTTTTCCATTTCATCATGTTTTGTCATTTACAAATATTAGGGTTTTGCTGCCTTCATATAATGAATTGAAAGTGGTTTATTTTTAATATTTATTTATTATGTATACAATATTCTTTCTGCATGTATGCCTGCAGGCCAGAAGAGGGCACCAGACCTCATTACAGATGGCTGTGAGCCACCATGCGGTTGCTGGGAATTGAACTCAGGACCTTTGGAAGAGCAGGCAATGCTCTTAACCGCTGAGCCATCTCTCCAGTCCTCGAGAGTGGTTTCTTTCTCTCTTTTTTGAGAAAAAAAATTTTTTTAACAATTTGATAGACTCTTTAGAGAAGTAGCTTGAGCTTTGGGTTTCTTTGTGAGGTTTTTAATAAAGTTTAATAAATTCAAGGTCTTTTAGATTTTCTGTCTCATTCTGTGCCAGGTCGTCTAAGTTATTTAGGTTTGTCCAATTTCATCTACACTATTGGTTGCATTGGTCTAAAGATTTTCCTGATACTCCCTCACTGTGCTTTCAATGTCTGTAGGGCCTGTAGTAGCAACCCTTCTGCCCTTCCTAGTACTGATAATTTTCACCTGGGTTATAACACGTGACTACTTCATTCCTTCTGATGGTTGACGACAATTGCATTGAATTAATAGGCTGCAACTTAGTCATCCATCATCAGTTTGCAGTCGTTCGAGTCGTTAGAGCTTTTGGGGGCTTATGAATAATGAGATTGAGAACATTTCTATAAAATTCCTAAATTGACTGCCCCAGCTATTAAATAGGGCTACTATTTTCACACCAACAGGCCTCACCAACTGATTTCCTTTATCTCCTTGCTGTGCACACAGGGGAAGAGTTTTCTCTTGGCTCCTGTCCCCGAAGGCAAGCAGAGTATACAGCCTGAGCTGGATTGAGTATGCAGTAGACACTTAAGGAACCCTAGACTTCTGGGGTACTCAGGTAGCACG